CACTCCATCCTGACCGGACTTCTTAGCCACCTCACAGATGAGGGAACTGAGCTCAGAGGCAGCCAGCTGCTTATTGCCCGCTGTGTGCAGGGCGCTGCGGGGCTCGGCAGGGACCAGAGGGGTGGTCGCCCCTTGTCTGGGGCCTGGACCAGCAGGATCTGACGTGAGTGCGGAAGCCTCGCCGTGCACCCATGCACACGAGGACGCACGACCACGCCGGGACCGAGTGGCACCGTTGTTTGGGAGCTGGGAGCAAATCCTCCTTGGCAAAGCAGACGTGATGTGCGTTTCACGGCCCGCCCCACACACAGGGCGAACAGGAGGCTGGAGGGCTGGGGCACGGGGCTCGCAGGAAGGCCAGGGAGGAGGACTCAGGATGGAAGGCGGGTGGCCGGTGCCCCCGGCAGGACTGCAGCCGTGGGAGGGGTGACACGTGGCTAGATTCTGACTCTTCTGCAGGTAGGGATCACGGCTGTGGCCGCCCCTCAGAAGCGACGTGCTGGATGAAAGGGGAGTGACACGGGAGAGAGGAGCGAGCGTACCTGCGTGGGGAGCTCAGCCCCCTCGGGCCTAAGTGCTCAGGACGGGGCCCCTGGGCGGAGAGGCCCAGGGGGACGTGGACAGGCCCCCTGCCCGCTCCCGAGCCTGCGGGTCTGGGGTCTGCATCAGACCTTTCCAAGTGACCAAGGCATCGCCCCGGTGATTTCACATCGGGGCTCCCCTACCCAGACCTCTTGGCGTGTGGGAACCTGGACCCCACGGCTGTTTCTGTTACCTTGGTAGGCGGTGGAGTTGAAGCAGAGGACTATGCGGGGGAAGGAAATTTTTAAAATAAAATGAAATGACTAAAAGGAGCAGGTCTCGTGCGCAGGGAGACACTCGGCGTAGCCTGAGAGACACCGGCGGCGACTCCGAGGGGGGCACCGCCCAAGAGGCGAGCAGCTCACTCTCGGTCACGGGCGAAGACGCCACCCACAAAGCGGTCGCGGGGAGCAGCTGAGGGCAGCCGCCCTCGCCCCGAACCACCCCTTCCGATGAGCATCGCATTCTTCCCTGTCCCCCCGAATCGGTCTCGCTCTGTCCCTCTCTCTCCCTCTCCTTGAACCCATCAATCCCTCGCTCTCTTTGTCTCACAGAATCTCTCATCTTATGACACGAAATCACCTTCCTGCAGGGGGAACGGGGTCACGGCCTGCACTTGTGACGCGTGGTGAGTGGGGCGCACGTGGCGGCCCGACGATGGCAGGCGGGCCGGGGGCCGGGGGCCGGCGGGAGCCGTTCCGTCCCCTTGCACTACGAGAACTGCGGATGTGGGGCGCAGTTTTCATGGTCCTGTCCTCGCCTTCGGGAAGCACAGTCACGGCCGCAGCCGTTTACGCGCAGCGAAGCACTGCGTATATGCAGCGAAGCTCTGGAACATTCCGCGCGAGCCCGGCCCGCTCTGCTCTGCTTTCCTTCACCCTGCAGAATCACTGAACGTTCGGTGGTTTTATCTTGTCGTCCTCAGGGGCTCTGCGAGCCTTCACTTGAACAACTGGATGTCACTCTCGGCAGCTCAGCCACAGCAGCAGTTGCCTGTGACACACACAGTGCACACTCTTCAGGGACCGCCCTGAACTCCGCCTCCTCCGCAGGAAGGACGAGGCTTCCGGTGTCACGCGCTGTGCTCCTCGGCTCCCGGGCACTCGGTTTTGATTTTCGTGCCTTGCTGCAGGTGGCTGGCATCTCCCAAAGCTGACGAAGCCGCATCGAAGGCTGGACCTCCTCGCGAGCAAGCAAGGAGTATCGTTCACATGTGACACAGGTGACGTGCTACGACATGTCATAACACATCATCGTTTCTGTTCCCGCCGAGAACCGCGGATCCGGGTGAGCTCACCGCATCTCTGCCAAAAGGTCCACACGAATGAGCCCCGGGAAAGCCGAGGGGAGCTGAGACCCCGGGAGGAAGCTCGCTGCCCAAGGCGCCATGGTGAGAGGCCTGCGGCGCAGCAAGGTCCCTCCGTGCTGGGACGACGCTGCCCGACGTGCGCTGTCACTCAGATCGAGGTCGTCTTCTTCACTTAAAAACCACACATGCAGACTGTAAGTAAATCACACTCACGGGAATCTCCGGGCAATGAAAGCACACTGGCAGCTCGAACACGGCCACAGTGTCGCAGCGGCCGGCCGCCGTGGCAGAGGCCGAGGCTGCCCGCGGTTTAACTGGATACCGTTACGTGGAGCCCCGGGTCACCAGCGGGCGCGCCCAGGGCCCACGCGAACCGGCCCTGCTCCGAGGAGTTCATGCTCCGGTCCAGGGACATCGCGAGAGGATGGAAATTGGGACCATGACAGCTGGGTGCAGAGAATAAACAGACAAACCCTTGGGCTGAACGGTAGCAGACAAGGGGTGGGGGCTGTGAGGGGCCCAGAAGCCCAGGCGCGGGGAGCGCACGGAGACCGCGGTGCTGGGCAGGGCCGAGGGGCCCGCGACATCGCCGGCCCGTGCGCCAAGTCCCGATGAAGAAAAGCAGGAAGTCAAGTCTCGTTAGCGAGAGTGACGTCGCAGTGGGTGACCCTAACGCGTCTGTGAAGCGGCGGCCAGGACGGGCACACCGGAAGCAGAGGGAGAGCGGGCGGGGACGCGGGTCAGAGGGCAGGCGTCTGCACCGGGAGGGGGAGCGGACAGGTGGGGGACCAGCAGTTGAGGACAGAGAAAAACAGAACAGGGGCCTCAGTCATGCAGAGGCCGTCCCCTGCCCTGTGCCCGGTCCTGTCCCCTGTGGACGTGTGGTCTCTGTGTGTGACACTTCAGCCGCCGTCCCCATGGAGACCACAACACGGGCACCCAGAAGGCCGGTCTGCCTGTCCGCTGCCCTAACCAGTGCCGGAAGCAGCATCTCACAGCGGCGTCACCTCTCGAATATCTAAAATAGTGTCTCAGTCTCGGCTGTCTGTGGGAACGCCCCTACCTGTCCCCAGCGGCGGCATTTCCGTGAGGAACACAGACATGGGGTCCAGCAGACCTGTCTGTGCTCAACCACTGACGGCTACGAGGAACCTCGCCCTCAGACCCACCACTGAGCTTCTCAGATTCCCAGCTTTCTCGTGTGTGACACAGGGACCACCGTCCGTCCTGCAGGATCTCCGCAAGGCCCAGAGGTCATGGGGCGAAGCGCCCAGCACACTGGCAGGTGCAAGCGCCCCTCCCGGTTCCCAGGGCGGTTAACGGTGGGTGTCACTCGACCACGCTCCCGTGGCCTTGACCCATCCTCTTGAGTCTCTGAGCCAGGTGGCACCTCGCCCCCCAGTGGACACGGGCACCTCCTCTTGCTGGCACTGGCCGATCCCTCCGCGGGCCTTGTTCTTGTCACCCTCCTCGGCCCGCGACTGGCCCTCAGCGGCCCCCTCTGAGTCAGCGGTGCCGAGTGCGCCTGGTCGTCAGGGGCTTTGGCCCCGGCTGCCTTCACTCCCAGGTCCGCGTGCCGTAAGGACAGGGGCCACACCGCCTTGGGGCCTCGCGGCCTGCTCCGCACATCCCAACTGCTCGCGTGAAACCGTGAGGTCAGGTGACACACTCACCTACGTAAGTGGGGAAGGACGAGTGGGACCGCCTGACACCTCGCACTCTGCAGCGAGCTCTGCTTAAACGTGAGCGGTTACGGGAGATTAAAGTGCCCGACGCTGACAAGCGTGGCTGCCGCGCCCTCGGGAGAGGCCATCCGCGTGCCGTGTCCCCGTCCCGACCCTGGGGCCCGTCTGCCAGTCAGTGCAGAGCAGAAAGGCCGGCAAAACGGCCCCGAGGGGTGAAGATGTGCGTGTCCTCTGGGACGCTTGTCGGACAGACAGAAGGACGACAAGAATCGCCCGGAGTCAACACCCACCGCGTTCACAGACACGGGGGCCACCTCGGTGACATCACCAGGATTTCAAGGGATAAAGCTGGGACTTAAAATTCAACCAAAACACCGAAAATAAAACCCTCCGCTTGTCATTTGGTGACTCGTAGAATGACTAAAAACCTCATAAACTGTTTAATTTCACTCCTTGCATGTTGATTAATCTGCTTAAATTGAACGGGACGTATCTAATCGGCGTTTCAGGGCATGTAGAGAATTCAAAAATCCATTCAAGGGATTTAGCAGAAGGATGGATTTTTCCTGGAGAGCATGATGCTCTTGTGCATATTATATCAAATCCAGAACTTATTATCCAATAAGGGACGTAGAGCACTTTGCCTACTAGAAATTACACGAAATCTATATTTTTAAAGTATAGCCTCTGGTCGGCAGAAAGTTCTGTATAAGTAGGATAATATTTCATCATTTATTGATCGGTGTCCGCCAAAAAAGAGAGCATGTAATTTTATCTTTAAATAGATGGTACTGGTGAAAATGTGACTTTTAATAGTCTAATGCCACCACATTTAAGATTGGTTTACAAATTTTGAGGGAGAAACTGCCTTTCAGTACTACACTCTCTTCACTTCTCGAGATGACGAACCGGCTTTGACCCACTGCTGGTTAGTGTCCTGTTATGGAAGCCAGCGACGTTAAGGTTACAAACTGTGAAATCAGTTTTAGCTTATAACCGTTCTAGAAGAGACGATGGATTAGTTAGGTGCGAATGCCCAGCTAGAGAGACCGACGTGTGTGTGAGCCACAACACCGTGCCACAGAGCTACTCGAGCTCCAGCGGCTACCCACAGACCCCACACGAAGCGGTCAGCGCCACACGGGGTCGCAGGGCCCCAGCCGGCGACACACACGCAGGAGGGTTGCAAGCGACTCGTCCCGCTGGCACCCGCGCACAATCTGGACGATGCTCTTCGCCTGTCCCCAGCTGTCCCCAGCTGCAGCATGCTCTTCCCCGCCCGTCCGGCGCCTGGGCCTCTGCTGATGTAAGCACGTGCCCCACACAGGACCGTCCGGCACTGGCACGTCGGACCAGTGGGAACCGGTCCTCACCACGACCCCAGGCCCTCAGCCGTGGCCGGAGCAGGACGTGCAGGCCCCTACCTTGAAAACGAACATCTCCCTGCGCAGAACCGCCAGAGTGTTGAAGTCTCCGTCGCAGATGCTGGGCTTGGCCCCGGGGGCTGCGGGTCTGCCCGTGGGCGGCCGCGGCGGCCGGGGCCTGTCGTTCTTGCGAGGGTCAGCCGGCGGCACAGAGCGCTGCGGGGGCACCGTGGGCAGGGCTCGCGTTGGCGGAGGAGTCTTGTCGGGCGGCCCTTCAGGAAACAGGAGGACAGCGTTGGCCACCCCAAGCTGGGGCAGGACACGGTGGTCGTCCGTGGGTCACGGGCCACCGGGGCTAGAGGTCTTTAAGGTCGCGTATCTCCCGAATGACAAGCCGTGTCGCCCAGCGAGCCGCGGCCACGTCTAGCAGAAACGGCGCTCACCGTGCTGGATCTGGGTCAAGGCCTGGGCTCTCGGGTTAATTGTTCATGACATTTTTATAGCTTCACCATAGACCTCGCTGGGAAAGCTGCTTTCAAACCTCTTTTGGAAGTAGGTGGCATATAAACAATAAGTGAATGGAAACGAACGTGGAGGCCGCACATGCCACCAGGGTGGAGCCTACGCCCTGCAGACGACGACTCGAAGCACTAACTCCTAAAAGGTGCACATTCAGGAATCAAAGCTGACTCTGCCCCTGTCTCCAATTCTATTTTGTAAACTTTTCCTAGCTTTGACTTTCACAATGTTCTCCTAATGAAATGTTTTGACAAACTGCTAGGAAAGTGTTTGGTGTGAATCCCGAATCTAAAACACCCATTGATTAAAACACTGCCAGTAAAACATTAATGTAAAAACTACTTCTAAACAGCGTTCGACGAGCAGCACAGCTCACACGCGGCAGGCACGGACAGCGTGCGCGCCTCAGGGGCTGCGTTTTCCAAAAGAAACTTTTCCAAAGAACACGCTTGATGCTGAGGCACGGAAAGCGTGTTCTTTTTCAGACCGTCTGTCTAGAGCCTTGGTTGACGGGGCCATGGGAGGAGCCACCACACAGGTGTGGTCTCCACCAGCAGGCGCTTGGGCATGTGGCGGGCACACGGCACCGGCCACTCCGCTCTGAGCCCCAGACATCGCTTTTCTCTGCACCCCTAAAAGAAAGAGCAGCCCAAAAGTGGACCTTATGCACTGAGGATGCTCAGCACTGAGACACTGACCTTAAAAACTGATGAATGCAAAACGAGCCAGCGAACTTGTACTCTGCTATTCAAAAATGTAAATGACAACCTCTGGACACCGGATAAAACATGCAGATCACACACTTTGTATTAGAAACGGAAGCTTCACTCCATGAACTTAGTAAAGCTGTCCTCTCTGTGTAAATTATGAATGTCAAGTACTCAACGATTCTGCATGAAACAAACGTCTTTGCAGAGGTGAAGGGTCTGCTGGGGGAGCTGGGGAACAGCCACTGTGCAGCAGAGTCTCTTCCCTTTTATCTTAATTTGCAGGCACTGGCTGGATCCCGTAAATAAAAGTGATTTTATTGTACTGGGAATTTATTTTGACTCATGTTAGTAAACTTCGGCGTTTGTTAACTTTTACTCTCAGTCAATAATTACGTACTTTGGGGACAATTTCGTTACCGCTGTCACACAACTGCAGACGTGGCCTGTCCAGGGACTATCTCCTGCCAACTGCCATAACCCGCGAGGCCGTCTGTCCACTTGTGCCAGAGTCTCAGGATCTTACATGAAACTCATATTTCTCAGTGTTTCACTGGTTATAGTCCTTTAGTTCGTATTTTTTACTTGAATTTAAACACTAAAGTTTATCAGATGTTTACTATAACTGCAGGTTTCAAATAAACTCAATAAGAAAATCTTTTCAGTGTTTAAGGCTTTCCCGTAATCTGCGTATCAACGTATCTGGAACTTCTGCCAACCGAACCTGACGGGGGTGACGCCCCCCCACGCGCTCGGCCGCAGCGGCCTCTCTGCGGGCGGACACGCGGCACCTACCGTATATCTTCTGGATGCCCTGCAGGTCGTCGCTGGGCAGCCGGAAGCTCTCGGTGTCCATGTACTGGTAGAAGGGCGCCATGATGGCCGTGGGGTCGTTGGAGTGCTCCAGCCCCAGCGCGTGTCCCAGCTCGTGAACCGCCACGAGGAACAGGTCGTTTCCTGTGCGGAGGGGAAGAGAGGCGCCGCTGTGAGCCGCAGCCACGTGCGGCGCCGTCAAAACTGTCCCCGGGGAGGACAGGGGGCAGCGTCACGTCAACCGTCGGTGTGACTTCACCAGTGTATTCAGACCAGCCACCTCCAACGTGCCTTGTGAAAAGGGGGAGGGGTGGGAAGGGGTCACAACAAAGTCATGAAAATTCAGAAGCAGAAAGAGAAGAACAAGGAGCAAAAGCTGAAGATCAAGCAGCGGCGTCAGGATCTGCCATTGAAGCGGCTTCCAGAACAGAGCCTGGGCTGGGCGACAGCCCCTCCCCTTCCAACGGTCACCCGACGTGGTCCCAGCGACAGCTCCGCAAACGCCAGCCACGGCCACGACCCCGCGTCACACAGGGGAGCAGGTGCGGGCCGACAGGCAGCGAATCTTTGTCCTTACAGAGCTGCGCCTGGGGCCCAGGTTGGTTTACATTTACTTATTTTCCCTGTTTATGTTTAAAACCTGTCGTTTTTCAGTTCCAGTTGGCACACGGTACGATATGGGTCTCGGTGTACAGCACAGTGACCAGACGTGTGTGCTCCTCGGGCACTGACCCCCGATGAGTCCAGGGCCCGTGTGACTCCGCCCGCAGCTCTCACACGCAGCCTAGAATACGGGACGCGGGGTGCAGGCCGGCGGCCGTCAGAGCGGGTCCCGGCCCTCGCCGCCTCGCACAGACTCTGAGCAGAGTGCGTCTGCCGTGGCGCGGCTGCTTCTCCCTGAACCAGGAGGCGGAATGGTCAAGGACAGGGAGAAGGGCGCGGGGCGAGCAGACGAGCACCGAGGAGGACGGAGCAGCCCCACAGAGCCGGTCTGCGCTCCACGCCTGGAGGGGCAGGACGCCAGGAAGGGGCCCCGGTGAGAGGAGGCTGCGCCCGCGCCCGGCCTGGGACAGGAGCTCAGGGAGCAAACAGCTGCGTCTGAAGGAAAGGCACAATCCAGGGACAGGGAAAGCATCTCCCCCTAGTGACTCGGGTTGGCTGGTGACTGACCTGGGACCTCCCTGGAGGGCGCAGTCTCCGCAGGAAAGGGAGCGGGTGCGCGCCCAGGGAGGGGGCAGTGCCTGGGCTTCCTGCAGTGACAGAGGAAGGGAACCCACGGCCCAGCTCAGACCTCGGGATCCCCAGACCCCAGACAGAGACCACGGTCACCGCGAGAACACCCTTCCAGGCCAGAGCGCCAGCCCTGAGTGAGGACAGGGCCAGGGTTACTGCAAGGACCTGGGGGCAGGATAAGGGACAGGCTTCCTGCAAGGGCCTTGGCACCAGTTCTGTGGCCTTCTTATGGCCTGCGAGGTAATTCACCCAGTTCCCCAGTCCCCACCTTTCCTCCCCAAGGGCACTTCCCACCTCTCCCTGTGTGGCCCTGCATGCAGGCCCTCAGGTCTGAGTAGCCCTCACTCCCTGGGGTGCTGGCTGTCCCCCAACAGGCTTGGCGGGACCCGTGTCCCTCCCCTGGAGACACAGGCCCTGCGTGCAGGCCCTCAGGTCTGAGTAGCCCTCCCTCCCTGGGTGCTGGCTGTCCCCCAACAGGCTTGGCGGGACCACTCCACGTCACCTCCACAAGGTCCCCCCAAGCCTGCTGTCACCACGTGCTGTCCCGGGGCCCCCGCAGCCCCTCGTGCACCCCCTTACCACACACCGCACTAGCGTTTCACGGTCACCGTCGCTGGTACCTCCCCCTGATACGTTCTGAATGTGTGCGATGACCCTGGCCCCCAGCCAAGGACGCTGCCTGGCGCGCAGATGGCGCATCCTCACGGGAGTCGAACGCGCGGGTCTGCGTCCAGAAAGCGGGGGGCTGCTTCGAACTCGGGGAGTAAAGACTCCAACGTCACTTCTCCCTACATACCATCCAGGATGCTTTCCTTTCCCCCAGCTTTGCCAAGGAGAGAGACATCGTAAGGTATTTAACGTATACATTTCCAAGGGTTACCTCACTGAGTTCACTCATCCGTCGTCTCGCGTACTTTGATTTGCGTGAGAGGTTTAATTTCCACCCTTACGAACGCCTATTGCACCGTGGTCACCGCAGTCCCCGGGCCTGACGGAGGCTCTCACCCCCTGGGTACTGAAAGCCCCTCCCTGCCCCCTCCAGAGCCCGGACTATCCCGCAAAGACTGGGGCCGGAAAGAGGAGGAGACGAGATGAGACGCAGGAGGCCGAGCTCCGACCAGGCTTCACACGAGGGCTGCCGAGCCCGCCAGTCCCTGTCCCTGAGTGTCAGCAAACGCTGTGCTCACAGGTGACCAGAGGAGGCGGCTGAGAGGCCCTTGCCAGGAACAGAGCCGGTCTGTGGAGCAGGACGTGCCGCAGTGGGAGGGAGCGGGGAGGCTGGGACGGTCAGGCGGTCAGGGCGTGGACAGTCGAAAGACAGGTCCACAGAGTTATTGGGAAACGGGATTTCTTTAAGATGCCACTTTGAGTGGGAAACCGATGAGACACATTCTTTGGGGACCATGCAGGGAGCAGTTGTAGTCGCAGGCAGCAATGACCACAGACAGAAGGCGGGGACTCGTGAAGGGACATGGGACTCTGAGTGTCCACAAGCGAGCAGGGTCGGGAGCAGCCGGCAGACTGTCCGCGGCTCACAGGGCGAGTCGGAGGCGCCGCAGGCACCTCCACGGGTGTGCCACCCAACGCCGGCTCCAAGACCAGCGGCTCCGGGGCCCTGGCTCGGACACGCGCCCTAACGCGCATCTGGGACCGGGTGCCGGGGCACAGGCGCGGAGGGCAGGACGATATGGCTGGGCTGAGGCACGCCCACCCCGATGACCCGCAGGGACAGCGGCAGGGGGTCATGGGGGGGCGTGGAAGGCACTCTCCTGGGCGCAGGCCCACTGCGCAAGCAGGGCCTGTCCAAGCCCCAGCAAACCAAGGCGGTACCAGGGGCAGAGGCCGGAGTGGCTCAAGGCCACCGGGGACAGCCACAGGGAGCCGAGCCTGGCCCGAGGACGGTGCAGACGCTCGGGCCTTCTTGGTGGGCGAGCCCCAGCGTGGCCTCGGGGGGACCGCATCTGGTTTGTATTCCTCGGGAGCCCCTTCTGCGTCTGCAGGTGCCCTCCCCAGAAGGCTAGTGCCTGGCCGCGTCCCTGGACGGAGTTGCAGGGCCATCCTCTCGTCTCTGGCAGGCAAGTCTGGCCCTACGTCACCGACAACCTCTCGGGCCCTGTGCCACTAGCAAGAGCACTTCAATTCTCTCAGAAAAATCGCCTTTCATTAAAAAAAATATATATTTTTTTCTGACTAACAGGAATACAAAAAGTAAAACAAAGCCATAGCAGCGAGTCATTTCGTGGCATGCACTGGTCCCCCAGGCCCTGCTTCCGGCCCTGGCGGCCCTGACTGATGAGGAAGCAGGTGACGGCAGGGTTCCCGGGGCAGGATGGGACCCGTGGCCACCGGGCACTTCCGGCCAGAGACGCCAGCCCAGGGCGCCAAGTAATCATCCTCCTTCAGATGGCTGGCGTTAGCACAAACCCCACTGGCCGCTCCGCAAGAGTTTAAACGGGTAAGTTGTTAAGTAAACTGCCACCCTGTGATTTGAATTCCACGGGGGACAAAAGCTGCCGGCGCGCGGTGAAGTTTAGACCTGTCTCCCGAGAGTAGCAACAGCCGCCGCTCCTGTAAGGCATCGCTAAGTCACGTGCCTCGAGACTCCTCACCACGCGGGCCGCAGAGGGGAGTCGGCCCCCCGCCGCCACGGCCAGGCTCCAGGTCCGAGGCTGCGGCTTTCAATCCCGTCTCCGGTCTCCTTCCTCTGTGTGGCCAGCACGGTGTCAGAACACTGAGCGGCACGTCAGGAAAGACAGTGCAGGTCTTACGATCTCCTGGTCATAATTACGTCTTTATGTTTGTACGCTGCTCCCTCAATGACAACATACCCCGAATGTTAAAAAATGCCTAGGTGATATTTCCTACATAAAAAAACCGTTATAAAGAAACCTGGCACCTACAGCCCCACGAACCGCACCAGACGGCAGCACGTCGCCAGCCCCCCGAACCTCCGTGTCTCCTGTCTCACACCTCGCCTGCCCCTCTCTCCAGAGGTGATCGCTACCCGGAGCTTTCAATTTCTCGTTCCATTTCTTGTATTTTGATATTTTCAGACGCTTAAAATATAAAACCAAATACCCATCTAATAGGTCTTCCAAAAATCAATCAAGGCTTTTCAAAGACCTGCAGCTATGAAACACTTCGTTGTTAATAAGGTCTCTCAGTCAAAAGACCTCAGGTCTATGCCAGCCAGGTGACGGGGACACCGCAGCAGAGTAAGTCGCAAAGCCAGTTTTCGGCAGCCGATCTGAATCGTGTGCCCTCCTCCGGCACGTGAGCGTGTGAGTGTCCTGCCCACCTGTGGCTGAGCGCAGCTGGTGCCATGGAGGGGCTCCCGTTCCAGAGCAGCCGCCACTCCGTGACGCCATCAGGAATCAGGGATTTCTAAAAGAATCTACGTGCAAAGAACTCCTTATAGAATTATTGAACCACTAATACACAGTTGTTCCTGACATGCAATCGATGCTTCTACCATGTGCCAGACAGCGTGACGTGCTGGGAGAGGGTGCTGGACCTGGACCGCCCGGCCACCCCACGGCTCCAAGCCCTGAAGCAGCTCCCATTGCCCACGACGCCACTGGCCACCTCCGTGACCCGCCCACCGTCCCGGGCAGCCCGCCGCCCCAGCTCCCAGTGCGGCTGAGCTCCCAACCCCCTGGCAAACTGGGCCCCTCACAGCGGTGCCTGGTCCTGTGCACAGTCCCCCGCACAGAGGCATTCGTTCCCCTCCCATGGCCCACGGGGCTTTCTTGTCATCAGAGAGAGAACAGCTCCAAGCTGAAGTTATATCCCATCTGTGATTCACTAAATGCCCCATATTCGCTGGCAGAGGAATCAGACTGCAAGCTATAAAGGGACAGTGTCAAAGAAGTTGCGGACATCCTTTAAAAGCACCACGACAGCTACGTGTG